ATTATTATTATTATTATAGAAAATCTAAGCAAGTTAGAAATAATATCTCTTCACTGTACCAGTTAGGTATATAAGTTTTCTTTAGGGTATAAGATTACCAACAATACATTCAAAATAAGGGAAAATAAAATATTTTTCCCTCGTTTATCTTACTTTTCCTGAACATACAGAAAGCCGCGTATGGCAGTACAAACATAATTATACCCTGCAAAAAGCTTTTAGGCAACTATTACCATATGCATTAATCACAATTATTGAGTATCTACAAATTTGCTGGACAAAACGGGAAAGGAACATTTTCTGATGCTTATGTGTTCTACGTGATCTTTCAATGTGAAAAATTAAAGAAAGTTGCTTTAGTTTAGTGATACACTTAGTCACTTTCTGGATGGATCTACTTGTTCTATCACTGTCTAGCTAAAAGTGCATGTTCTTGTCTATAAAACGTCAGGTTTAAGGTTTTGTTGATTTAAGTCATTTCATTGAAATAAGAATCAACTTCAATTACGAAAAAAATCATGCTTTTAAGAAAATTGTGTAATAAGTAGATCTGGAAGAACATTGGATGACCACATGTCTCATTTCTGCGTAATTCACATATCACGTACTCTTTGCAGACGTTTTGAATTTTGGATAACATGAGAGGAAAAACTTTTGTAGCTGCGGGGGTACATACCATTATACCGAAACAAGCATGTTACACACCGAAGTACACGCCAGACAAAGTATAACGTATTTACGTCCCCAGAAAATATGATTATTTGCTTTTCACATAATGAACATAAAGCAACCGAAGTTTCGCTCCACGGGAATAGATAGATGTAAATGGCCAATAAATTTCAGTAAACTTTTACGTGTGGGCGTATGTTTTGACAGTTTCATTTACGATTAGAGAGAGAAGGCGACGTCTGCGAGCCTGACGGAATTAGTTTTCTTTCCTACTATTTCTGATGGAGGAACGGCATCTACAAGTATGGGTCAGATATTGGGTCCCTAGGCGTTTGACGAGTCTCGTCTGGAGAACAAAAAACCCGATGAATAAGCGTAAATAAAAAAAAATCAAACAAAACTATTCCCGGGAGAAGCCAACACAGAGGAAAATATCCCGACTACGGCATAATTAATTATTGATTCCGTAAAAACGTTTCGATGTTTGTGCAAATGAAAGGGGTATGAAACATAGTACGCTACAGTCGTTTGTGAACGTTTGCGCACTACAACTATTTTTCTAGCTACTAGGGGGACAAACGCACAATCGATTTTGTGATTCCGATAGACATAAACAATGCCAGTTTACGGTTACGTCAATACTGTGAGTGAGACATTCACTGATGAAAACTGTGGAAATTTACATCGGGTTTTTACTATTTGCAACGGTTTTATACCCAAGAAATGTAAATGAATTGATATACATAATACCTACATTGTGTAGAATTACGCGTTAGAGTGTACATACATTTTATTTTTTTTGCGACGAATTATTACCGTTTGCATTGTACTGTTACATTTTAAAATGTACTGCTCTTAATATTTTCTGTGCTTTTGCTATATTCGATATAAATATGCGAATAAGGACTGTTTGCACTGAAAAAAAAGAGTGGCACTGTTAGAGTACGCGGTTCTAATCGCAAGGATTGGCCCAGAAATAGGAAACTTGTGCGGGAGAGGGGGCGGCATATTATTATTCAGTAGGCCGCATGTGCGCCCAGGAACGACCTGGAAAATCTCATTAATTGGGGGGATGGTCAAACGCCGACCGGTATCAATCTCTCACATTGACCCAAGCCAACGTTCTTCCACCCTACCATACCCCCAGAGAGGGTGCCTAATTCCTCTCTACGAATATAGCTGATTTACGGTCTTACGGCCCTTTCAAGCATTTGAGACAGACATTTTATGGATGCTAATTAAGTTTATGTAACCAGTTTCCTAATAAAAAAAACCTTAGGTTTATTTTACAAAGATTCGCTTCCAATTTGATAATTATAAATGGTTTTCAATAAGTACATCTGGAAGGTCACTATACAGAGTGATTCACAACTTATTCAAACAAAATTGGGAATAGATGCGGAATGAAAAATAGTCAATACCTATCGTAAAATTTTTTTTGTAAAATCCGTATAGTTTCCAAGAAAAAAATTATTAAAGTTGTAGTACTATCCACCATTACATCGCTGGATAAATGTAATCTTTAGAGTCATTCGCGTTGTGCATTTTCGCAATACGCGTGGAGAGCCGCGTGGCCTCAGCGACTCCGAATACTGAAATCCGATTTTATAATTAGTATTAACGTCATTGCGATAGTATTTACAACAGTTTTTTAGTAGTTAGTGTCAAACATGGCTTACGTGTAGGTATAGCAACTCGGAGTTGATGAATATCGTTTTAATGTGCTTACACATCCGTGGACAAAATTTTGAACAGTTGTTGTAACATCAAGCATCAAGCAAAAGCAGTTGAATTTGCTAATAGAAAATAGGTGTTATAAAATTCTATTTACTTCTTTCCTTGCGACTCTCTCAAGTTTTTGTCCGTTTTTTTTTTTTTATTAAACTTCGCCTCCTGTAAGGTCAGGTTTTGCAGTGGACCAGTTTCCAGTGCCGTGCAGAAGTGTATTTCTAAATAATTTTCGAACTGCCCATTTTGATTTTTTTTACAAAACTGTATTTGTAAGAGTCCCCTGGTACATCCAATTTTTTTTTTTTGGGATAAGTTCTGAATCACCCTGTATGTGTGTCTTGAACCACACTGCAGATACAAGGGCACCCCGTAGAGAGCAAACATTTTATTTTTGAATTTATCAGTAAATATTCTTTATATTATTTGATTTATTATATTAAATCCATATTATTCATTTTCATCCAAAAATACTTTACAACCTCTTCTTTTGAAGGAAATTTTATCCACTTTTTTTTTCTATGAAGCAATGCCTATACCTATCTTTACTCAAAAAAACCTAAAGGCAAAAAAAAATCAGAAAATTTTTTGTTTTTTTTTTCAAATTGTTTATTAACGATTTTTTTGCATAAAATTTTCCTTTTAAATTTTTTAAATAAGCTATTTGGGAAAATCAATTCTCTAAATAAGTTTTCCTATGAACTATAGCGAAATTTTGCTTTGTTTTCGAGCTACAATTAAAAAACTGAAAGGGGTGCATTTCCACCCCGATCTCCAATTTCCACGCTCTAATTTAATAATATTCCGCGGATTTTTTCATCTAAAATTACCCTTCCAATTCGTGCAATAAAATAGCTTGAACGTCATATTTCCTTTTAACTCTGTTTTTTTGGATGTAATCAATAGCCTACTAGCAAAATCAGTGATTTTGTCTTTAATCGTTTTCAAACTATTGAGCTTCTTGTAAAAATACGTATTAGTTATAGCAATCACAAGAAAACTTTGAACGTTCACGGAAACTTGAATTAATCTTCTCGTTCTCACGGTACGATATGACACGGTAATTCAGTCAAAACTGCAGTTAAATTGACTGCAGATTTAAAACTGTGAGCCAGTACACCAATCGATATATTTAGATTTTCGATAAAACAACCCAATCTGTACCGTGTGACCGAGCACTAACACCAACTTAAACAAAACCTTTGAAACCAGTATTTTGTAAATCTAATGCAAAATAATAGAATCGTAGTGATAAGACCTGCATACCTTATGGATCAGTACCGTTTTAGAACTTTATAAAAACATCTTTTGAGATCAACAGCTTTTTTAAGGGCTTTTCCATTTGTATGAGTACAATCACGTCTTTGGAATTTAAACCATTCCAATGACACTCCATACATAGAAAAATTTTTAAGTATAACTGGTTTTATTTCGACTTTCTAAAATTTTTTAATTTTTTCTAATACTTTGCT